CTAGAGATAAGCATACACATCTATGGTCAATTGATCTTTAACAAAGGTGCTAAATCCATCAAATAGGGAAAGAATAGGCTCTTTCATAAATGGGGTTGGGATTACTGGATTTCCACATGCAAAAGAATGAAGTTGGACCCATACTTCACACCAAATACAAAAACCAACTCAAAATGGATCAAAACTTAAATGTAAGACCTAAAACAATAAAATTCTTGGAAGAAAACATAGGAGTAATGCTTCGGAACCTAGTCTTCAATGATCAACTCTTAGCTATGACACCAAAAGCACAATTAACAAAAGACAAAATAGATAAATGGGACTTCATCAAATTTAAAAACTTTTGTTCATCTAAGGTCTTTATCAGCAAAGTGAAGAGACAAACTACGGATGGAGAAAATTTGGGGTAACCATATGTCTTAGTCATCTAGTGGTGCTGTAACAGAAATACCACAATTGGATGGCTTTAACAAAGAGAAGTTTATTTCCTCACAGCAAAGTAGGCTAAAAGTCCAAATTCAGGGCATCAGCTCCAGGGAAAGGCTTTATCTCTCTGTCAGCTCTGGAGGACGGTCCTTTTTGTCAGTCTTCCCTTGGTCTGGGAGCATCTCAGCACAAGAACCTCAGGTCCAAAGGATGCTCTCTGCTCCCGGAACTGCTTTCTTGGTGGTATGAAGTTCCCAATTCTCTGCTTGCGTCCCTTTCATCTCTTGTAAGATAAAAGGTGGTGCAGGCCACATCCTAGGGAAACTCCTTTTACACTGGATCAGGGAAGTGACCTTAGTGAGGGTGTTATACAATCCCACCCTAATCCTCTTTAACACAAAGTTACAATCACAAAATGGAAGTCAACCACACAATACTGGGAATCATGGCCCAGTGAAATTGATGCACACATTTTTGGGGGGACATAACTCAACCCATGACACCATACATCAGATAAAGTTTTAATATCCTGAATATATAAAGAACTCCTACAACTTAACAACAACAAAAAAAAAAATGCAAAAGTGGGCTAACAATTTCAATATATATTTCACCAAAAAGATATACAAATGAGCAACATCACATGAAAAATGCTCAACCTTATTAGCCATCAGGGAGATACCCATCAAAACCACAATGAGATACCACTTTGCCCCTACTAGAATGGCTAACATAAAAAAAAACAAAAGAAAACAAATGTTGGCAAGGATGTGGAGAAATTGGAACCCTCATTCACTGCTGGTGGGAATGTAAAATGGTGCAGCTGCTATAGAAAAATGTTTGGTGGTTCCTCAAAAAGTTAAACATAGATCTACCATATGACACAGCAGTTCTGCTCCTAGGTATATACCCAAGAGACTTAAAAGCAGCAACACTGCAAACCTTGTATACCATATGAAATGTACATTGCAGTACTATTCACAATAGCCAAAAAGTGCCAACCACTTAAATGTTCATCAACGGATGAATGGATAAACAAAATGTGAACTACATATATATACGTTATATCTCAATGGAATATTACTCTGCCATAAAGAGTCCTCACACATACTATAACATGGATGAAACTTGAAAACATTATGAGGACAAATATTGTATTATAACACTGTTTTAGGCTGGGTTCTCTAGAGAAGGAAACCCAGTGAAGCATATGTGTGCATGTGTGTATATATATAGAGACAGAGAGAGATTTATATCAAGGAAATGGCTCATGCAGTTGTAGTAGCTGGAAAGTCCCAAGTCCGTGGGTCAGGCATTAGGCTGGAGGTTTCTCCTGACTCACATAGCTGTAGGGGCTCAGGAATCCAAAATTGGCGGGTCAGACAGCAGGCTGTTGGCTCACGGGCTGCGGAGGCTGATGAATTCAATATCAGCAGGTAAGACAGCAGGCTGCTGGCTCAAATCCCAAGAACTGGAGGTCAGATGATGACGAGCTGGATTCAGGATCCAGAGTGAGCAAAAGCCAGAGAGCTTTGCTGGAAAGTTCACATATATTGGATGCAAGTCACATCCCCAAGGAAACTCCCTTTCAATTGATTGGCTGCTCATAGCAAATCTCATCATGGAGGTAATTACATCATTATGTAATTGCAAAACTACATCGTAACTGCCAAACCACTGAGAATCATGGCCCAGTCAAGTTGACACACAATCTTAACCATCACAAATACTTATATAAAATATCTAAAATAGGAACATGTATAGAGACCAAAGCTTATTAGTGGTTACCATGGGCAGAAGGGAAAGGGAAAGGGAGGGTCATTGTTTGTCAGTCATGAGTTTATGTTTATGGTAATGGAAAATTTGTCACAGGATATTGATAATGGTTGCATAACATGATTAATGTAATTAATGCCACTGAATTGTGCTGTAAAAATGACTTGGGGACGTCTGCCCATCAGGGAAGAGGCCAGGCTGATTCCTGTGAGGTGAAGGTCAACCATACTTGCACCCTTCAAACTTTTTACCAATTCTGACACCAGCCATCACTCCCATGGCACTCTCTACTTCTCTACTGGGTTCTATAATTTGTTGCAATGGCCACACAGAACTCACAAACTGTACTTAACAGTTAAGTGGTTTATTAGGGAAGTAACAGGTTACAATTCAGGATCAGGATCAACAGGCTACAACTTGGGCTCAGAATCAGGAAGCATGTAGGCAGTCTCCCTTCTTCAGTGCAGGACAACTCTCTCAGCTCCCCTTGGCCATGCAGTTCTCCTCTCAGACCCCTGCTGAGGACTGGCCTCCTTTTCTTGGCCCTTAGTCATCAGCACCACTTGTGCCTGGCCTCTGCCCTGATGGGGCAAGTATTACAAAGCTCTTTAGCTCTGCTAACAAGTGCCCAGAGGCACCCCACTCCACCAGGAAGTCTCCTGCCCAAAGGCTCTCAGCTCTCTTGCTCCAGGGGTCAGCATGTCCACTATAGCCACCTTGTTCCATGTGCCAGAAAGCCCACCATGCCATCTCTTGCTTGTCTCTCAGTTCTGCTGCTACCATTTCTCTGCTGCTGCTTCTCACCATCTCAAGCTGTCTCCAGTGTTAAAGCTGTCTCTCTCCTGGGTCTAGGAGGTTCTCAGTGTAAGGACCCCAGGCCAAAAGGACAAGCTCCACTCCCAGCTCTTCTTTCTTGCTGGTAGTGAGGTTCCCTCTCTGCTCTGGGATTGGCTCTATTTTAAGGCTAGTGGGATGGCAAAACTGACCAATCCCCTTGTCAGGGTTCCATACATCTTATTTGCATGGTCTCACCTCCCACAGGGGTTCCATGCACTTTAAGTGCATTCTTAGCAGGCTGTCCAATCCCCTTCGTGAGCCACAAACACCTTATTTGCATAGTCCCACTGAATTATTTTGTGGGAGTCACAAACGCTATGGCTAGAAGGGCCATATTAAGTAATATACTGCACTGCATGTACACATGAAAGATCTTGAATTGGCAAATGTTCTATGTATCTTTATAAGAATAAAAAATTTTTTAAAGAAAGTAAAAAGACAATCCATACAATTGGAGAAAATATTCTATATCACGTACAGTGAAACCTGTGAGAACGAAAAATCAAATAGACTGCCTTGTTTTTCTGGGTCTCACAAGTTTTCCTCCTTTGTGTAAATGGACAATAAGCACATGAAAACCAAAAGGGAAGCACACGCTCAGCATTTCTCAATCTGAAAGAACTGAAGAAAAAAGTCAAGCCTCGAGTTGCAATATTGAAGGATTCTGTGGGCAAAATACTGAACGATGCAGGAAGCATCAAAAGAAGACGAAAGGAATACAGAGTCACTGTACCAAAAAAGAATTGGTACAACCATTTCAGGAGGTAGCATATGATCAAAAAACTGATGATACTAAAGGAAGAAGTCCAAGCTGCCAAGAAGATATTGATGAAAAACAAGCCTCCAGAAATTGGTGGAATAACAATTGAGATATTTCAACAAATGGATGCAGCACTGGAAGTGCTCCCTTGTCTATGCCAAGAAATTTGGAAGACAGCAACCTGGCCAACCAACTGGAAGACATTCATGTTTATGCCTATTCCAAAGAAAGGTGATCCAACCTAATGCGGAAACTATTGAACAATATCATTAATATCACACAAGCAAAATTTTGTTGAAGATCATTCAAAAGTGGCTGCAGCAGTACATCAACAGGGAACTGCCAAAAATAACCCTGATTCCGAAGAGGACGTGGGATGAGGGATATCATTGCTGATGTCAGATGGATCCTGGCTGAAAGCAGAGAATACCAGAAAGATGTTTACCTGTGTTTTATTGACTATGCAAAGGCTTCCACTGTGTGGATCATAACAAATTATGGACAACATTCTGAAGAATGGGAATTCCAGAACACTTAATTGTGCTCATGAGGAACCTATACATAGATCAAGAGGCAGTCGTTAGAACGGTACCCATTTTTAGGTACTTAAAATCATTGTAGGTTCTTGATATGATTTGAACTGTAACAGAACTTCAGTTATAAAAAGTGAATGATTGCACCACATTCCACTTGTTTTACTCTAACTCAGGAGTGTTTCATTAATTTTTTAAAACAAAATTTAACGCTAAAAAAGTAAAACACTTGCTTTCTGTTCTTTCCACATAAAAACCACAAAGCAGTTTGCATGAGAGTCTTACAAGTTACATTTTTACAAATGACAGAAGACCATGTACCGGGTTTATCTTAGTTTGTTTAGAAAGTATATGCAGACCAAAGTCCAATGCTAAGGCTGAAGAGTCGCTGAGCAAGGATTCAGAGAAGACATTGAACCACTGAATTATAAACAACTGAAAGTACCTCCGGTAAATAATTACTTCTGTGACTTTCCTGAAAACAGCTAGCTGACTCATCCCAAAACAACCTGTGGAAACCACTTAGACAGCCTTGCTGCAGTGGTGAGGTTGGCCCCTTGAAAAGAAAGGAGTGTCAGAATTAACACGATTGAAAGGAACCATTTTCTCCCTTTGAACTTACCTACATAAAGTCATTTTGCTTCTTGGGGATCACATGTTCAGCCTCAATGGGCTTTCATCACCTCCTGGATCGAGTTGGTGGCCAGGGGAGATTCCAGATCTTTCAGATGGTTTTCCTTCTTATCTCCAATGTCATAACGCACACTCATATTGTGTTGGAGAACTTCACTGCAGCCATCCCTGGTCATCGCTGCTGGGTCCACATCCTTGACAACCACACTGTCTCTAGTAACAGCACTGGGATCCTGAGCCCTGATGCCTTCCTGAGAATCTCCATCCCACTGGACTCGAACCTGGAGCCAGAGAAGTGTCGTCGCTTCCTCCACCTCCAATGGCAGCTTCTTCACTTGAATGGGACTTCCCTCAACACCAGTGAGCCAGACATGGAGTCCCCTCCACCATTGTGACTAAGGTGAGAGGCCCCATTTTTCTCTTCTGAATACATGATCTGGGTGTTTAAAGATAACACTTGTAATGAACATTTTTCAAACCTTTAGTCACCGTGCAAAGGTTTATCCTTCATTCTTCCAGCAACTAGTCATTGCCTATTTATTCATGCCAGGCATGTACATAGATAATGAGGCTAATGAATTCAAAAGTAGACATGAACTCTGCTATTGCAATGCTTTTCTTCATAGGAAGACCCCAATGTAAGGAAGCAATTTATATAATGTGTGAAAAATGGTATACTACGTCAGTAAAGCTAACCTTGTTTGCAAATTAGAAACAGCTGGGGAAATTGACAAATGCACCGGGCACAGATTGCACCCCAGAGAAGTCATAAGAGATGGTGTGTTTTTTAAAGCTCCTCACCTGATTGCACTGTGTGACCAAGATTGTGAACTACTTAGTTCAGAAGACAAAATGAATATAAAGACAGAGAAATACCATAACATACAAGTTTAGGTGAGCCTTACTAGAGAGAGTTATGTTTAAGCTGAGAGCAGCTTGATAAAGGTCAGCTAATGCAGTAAGGAAAGCTGGGGAAGAAGATAGGGGCCTGATATGCTAAAATTTGCAAGCCATTGTAAGGTGTTTGCAGCTGTTTCCCCCTGAGGTGTCCTAATTGCCTTGAAGCATTGCTGTGCTTATTTCCTTCTCTTCCAGTGGGACCTGGTATGTAAATCTCAGCTACTGAAATCAGCGACTCAATTCCTATTCATGGCTGGAATGCTGCTGGGAAGCCTCATATATGGCCATCTCTCAGACAGGTGAATGTCTCTGGATCACAGCTCACTTTTCTCTGGAGTACTCTCTTCAACTTATGCCTCAATATTTCTTTAAGAAAACTATTGCAAATGACACTATCCTGGGGCTGATTCTGTCCCCAGGGATCCAGAAACACAAATGCGGAATTACGCTTAGTGTGGTGAGTGCTATTTGTCAGCATTGAGAGCTGAGTACAGGAGGACAGAGAAAGGACATCTCCATCCAACCTCAGGGCATTTCAGGATGGGGTTTAGAGAAGAGATGCATAACCTGTGGTTTATAGATGGAAGAGTTACCTATGGGAACATAGAGAAAGATATTCGCAACAGGGGATTCAGCCATTTGAAGACACAGATATGGACAGCAGCATCGTAGTTCTAACCAGGCTGTCAGTCTCTCCGGGACCCTATGAGATAAATGCTTGTGGTCCTCATGTGATAGTTGCCCAAGGGTGACGGGTAGGCATTCGTATATAAAATCTGTGGAGTGTGTGTCAACGTGTCATGGGTGAAGTATTAAATAATTCTGCCAGTAACCTTGATCTTTGTTCTTGCCAAAACAGCTTTTTTAAAGGTAAGTTTTGTAACCAGATGAGATAATTCATCAAAGTTATATCCTCTCACGGTTTATGGTGTGAGAAGTTTCGGGTATCCTGTGCCTAACAGTACCTCTTCTGAAATAGGTAGGCAATCATTGCCACCACTTAAGCAGTGTCTTCCAAGAGGGAAATGGGGGACTTGAGGTGCCCTTTACATCCACCACCTTAATGTCAACTGTCGTCTCGGCTGAAAACTGTGAACTTTGAGTGCATCACAGTAAACGTAACTTACACAAGATTTCAAGGTAGGAGTGTGTCTTTCCACTAGTCCTTTAATGCAGTGCTCTGTGAATGTATCATGAGAAAATGCAGATAGATAAATTTTAATGAATCGTAAGGTAGTAGCAATGGGGAGAGGGGATCCATGGCAAAAGATGACAGTGGAGAATTTCCTGAAGTTGAGAGCTACCTTATAAGGTAGTCTAAGGATTTTGAACTTCATCAAATAGACAGGAAAGTGGTTCTCTTTAGAATGTTTATTGGGATTGCATTGAATGTGTACATCAGTTTGGGTAAGTTTGCCATTTTGAGAATATTGAATTTTCTGATCTATGAACATGGTGTATTGCTCCACTAATTTAGCTCTCATTAATTTCCTTTTGCAATATATTTTGTAGTTTATGGGAAGAGGCATGCGCTTTTTATATTAAATTTGGTTTCTAATTAGTTTTTGATGCTATGGAATTGTTTATTAAAATTTAATTTCAAATAGCTATTTCCAGTATATAGAAGTGCAATTGACTTTTTATATTGACCTTGCATCCTGCTACCTTAATCCATCCATCTATTAGTTCTAGTTTTTTTTATTGTGGATTCCTTAAATAATCTACATGATGCCTTTACTACATGATCATGTCATCTGCAAGTAGGGACGGTTTTACTTAATACTTTCCCATCTCTTGCCTTTTATTCTTTTTCGGACTGCAGCTAGGAACATCACCACAATGCTAAAAGAAGATGGTAAGTGCCGATATGCTCGCCTTCTTTCTGATCTTAGGTAGAATGTATTGAATCTTTCACAACTGAGTATGATGTTAATTGTAGGATTATGGTAGATGCCCTTAATAAGGTTGAGGCAATTCCCTTCTATTTCAAGTGTTCGGAGTGTTTTTATTATGAAATGATATTGAACTTGACATACAATATGCTTTGGAAAACAAAGTGTATTCTGCTCTTCTGGGTAGGCGTGTTGTTGTGGTTAGTTGCCGTGGAGATGGTTCTGACTCATAGTGAATGAAACACTGCCCAGTCCTGGGCCATCCTTGCGATCATTGATATGTTTGAGCCCACTGTTGCAGCCACTGTGTCTGTCAATCTTGTCCAGGATCTTCCTCTTTTTCACTGACCTTCTACCTTACCAAGCGTGATGTCCTTCTCCAGGGATTGATCCCTCCTTGTAGCGTGTCCAAAGTACATGAGATGAAGTCTCCCCATCATGGCTTCCAAGGAGCACTCTGGCTGTACTTCTTCCAAGACAGAGTAGTTTCTTTTTCTGGAAGTACATAGTATATTCAATATTCCATGCAAATACCATCATTCAAAGGCATCAATTCTTCTTCAGTCTTCCTTCTTCATTGTCCAGCTTCCTCATGCATATGAGGAAATTGAAAACACCATGGCTTGGGTCAGACACACCTTAGTCCTCAAAGTGACATCTTTTCTTTTTAACACTTTAAAGAAGTCTTTTGCAGCAGATTTGCCCCATGCAATACATTGTTTGATTTCTTGACTGCTGCTTCCATGCGTATTGATTGCGGATCCAAATAAAATAAAATCCTTGACAACTTCAATCTTTTCTCCCAATATTTGCTTATTGGTCTACTGTGAGGATTTTTGTTTTCTTTATGTTGAGGTGTAATCCATACCAAATGCTGTAGTCTTTGATCTTCATCAGTAAGTGCTTCAAGTCTTCTTCACTTTCAGCAAGCAAGGTTGTATCATCTGCACACTGCAGGTTGTTAGTGAGTCCACCTCCAATCCTGATGCCCGGTTCTTCTTTGCATAGTCCAGCTTCTCGGAATATTTGTTCAGCGTACAGATTTAATAAGTATGATGAAAGAATACAATCCTGACGCACACCTTTCCTGATTTTAAATCACGCAGTATCCCTTTGTTCTGTTCAAATGAGCACAATTAAGTGTTCTGGAATTCCCATTCATTGCAATGTTATCCATAATTTGTTATTATCCCCACAGTCGAATGCCTTTGCATAGTCAATAAAACACACACTCAGCATTTCTCAAGCTGAAATAACTGAAGAAAAAATTCAAGCCTCAAGTTGCAATTTTGAAGCATTCTATGGGCAAAGTATTGAATAATGCAGAAAACATCAAAAGAAGATGGAAGGCATACACAGAGTCACTGTACCAAAAAGAATTGGTTGACGTTCAGCCATTTCAGGAGGTAGTGTATGATCAAGAACTGATGGTACCGAAGGAAAAAGTCCAAGCTGCACTGAAGGCATTGGTGAAATACATGGCTCCAGGAATTGACGGAATACCAATTAAAGATGTTTCAACAAATGGATGCAGCGCTGGAGGTGTTCACTTGACCACACCAAGAAATTTGAAAGGCAGCTGCCTAGCCAACTGACTGGAAGAGATCCATATTTGTGTCCATTCCAAAGAAAGGTGATCCAACAAAATGCGGAAATTATCGAACAATATCATCAAAAGGACATGCAAGTAAAATTTTGCTGAAGATCACTCAAAAATGGTTGCAGCAGTAATTGACAGAGAACTGCCAGAAATTCAAGCTGGATTCAGAAGAGGACATGGAATGAGGGATATCATTGCTGATGTCGATGGATCTTGGCTGAAAGCAGAGAATACCAGAAAGATGTTTACCTGTGGTACTTACAGTGTTCTGTAAATGTCAATTAAATCATGGCAGTTGAGAGTGCTGTTCATTCAGATATTCTATGTCTTTGCTGACATATGTGTGCTTGCTTTATCCTTTGCTGTGAGAGTGATGTGAAGATCTCTCACTGTGACAGGGGAATTGTATATGTCTCCCTTTAATTCTGTCAATTTTTGCTTTATGTATTTTGAAGATGTGTGTTTATATACATGCACATTTGACAAATTTAGCATGATGGGGTACCTCTCTCTATCTCTGTAATATGTTTGTCTCAAAATCTATTTTATCTGATATTAACATAGCTTCTGCATCCTTTTTATTCTTAACTGTTTACGTGGTGTATCTTCTTCCATGTATTGACTTTCAACTAATCAGTATCATGATGCTTCAGTTGGATTGCCTTTATTTTTTAATCTATGCTGATAATTCTTTCTTTTTAATTGGAGTGTTTAATTCATTCCCATGTAATGTAATTATCGATATGGTGGATTTGAGTCTACTCTTATTTTTTTTACTGCTACTCCCTCCACTTTTTTAGTTTGTTTGTGTATTTCTCTGATCCACCTTTTTGTTCTTTTTTGGAATGATTTGAATATTTGATAACTCTATTTTTATATTCCTGTTGGTTTTCTACCTGATCTTGTATGCATTATGGTTTACTGGTTGCACTAGAGATTCAAATGTAAATCCTTACCTTTTCATAGTTAATAATGTACTAATTCTTTAAAATAGACATTTTGATAAATTATAGGCCCATTTCCTCCTTTATATTATAGTTGTTATGCATTTTACATCTACATAAATTATAAACTTCATATGACAGTGTCTTTCATTCTGCTTAGATGGTTTATAGGGTATATAAAGAAATTCAAAGGAAAACTTTGTCTCTTGTATGCATCCAGATATTTACCATCTTTGATGCTCGTCACACTTTTTTGAGGATCCAGGTTTCCATCTAATGTCATTTCCCTTCAGCCTAAAGAACCTCCTTTAGCGATCTTGTGAAGCCACGCTGAAGATAAATTCTCACAATTTTTTGTTCGTGTTTTTCATATGTGTCCTCGTGAAGTCACTGGACCAACAATTCAATTTGATATCTGAACAAATTAAATTTATTGAAGAAAATGAACCTTAGGAGAGCATGTGTTCAGCTTGGCTGTAAGGTATGCTATGCTCTGCCTTACTGGCAAAACAAAGAGATATTTAACAAGTATAGTGAGTACAGACAACAACTTGACATCAAAGCAATGGCAGGAAAGAAGGTGAGACTTACAAAGGTGGCAGTTAACTGTGAAACTTTCTTTATGTCAGTTTCTAGACTAACACAAATCTCTTGATCCATTTTAGCTGAGGCAATATTTCTAAAATGAAAAGTATAAACCATTTCAACATTAAAGTTTAGTGATATGGAAGTTACGATATTCATTGCAGCTGGGCTAACTCCATTGGATTCTTTGAATACAGAACTGACCATTAGTTAGGAAAATGTAAATAAACTCTGCTTATGTAGTTGAGAGAAAGGAGAATGACAAAGCGCTTGCTGGG